TTGTGCGAGGCGATTGACATGGGTCTATCTGCCATCTTCTACACACCATCATCCAGTTGTGCCAGCACCATTTGTTGAAGATGCTGTCCTCCCCGCATTGTATTCTTTTAGCTGTTTTGTCAAAAAATCAGGTGTTTATAGGTGTGTGGGTTAATATCAGGATTTTCGATTCGATTCCATTGGTCTACTTGTCTATTTTTGTGCCAGTACCAGGCTGTTTTCAGGAATATAGCTCTGTAGGAAATCAAAAAGGCTGAAAGACACTTAAGAAAGTACTCAACCTCTTTAGCTATCAGGGAAATGCAAATCAAAACAACTCTGAGATACCATCTTAATTAGAATCACCAATAATAACTTATGCTGGAGAAGATGTGGAGAAAGTGGAACACTCCTCCACTGCTGGTGGGAGTGCAAATTTGTACAGCCATTTTGGAGATCAGTATGGTGGTTCCTCAGGAAAATGGAAATCAGTTTACCACAAGACCAGCAATCCATTCATGCAACAAAGACATGTGCTCAACTATGTTCATAGCAGCATTATTTGTAATAGCAAGAACCTGGAAGCAACCTAGATGCCCCTCAACTGAAGAAAAATGTGGCACATCTGCACAATGGAATACTACTCTGTGGAAAAAAAACAATGGAATCCTGGAATTTGCAGGCAACTGGATGGAACTTGAAGAAACCATTCTGAATGAGGTAACCTAGTCACAAAAAGAGGAACATGGTATGTACTCACTCATATATGGATTTTAGACCTAGAGCAAAAGATCACCAGCCTATAATTAACACCGCCAGAGGAACTAGGATACAAGGTGTATTCTAAGAGATTCTTATAAGGTCCCTCACAGAAGGAGGAAGGGACAAGTTCTCCAGAGCACATGGGGAGTGGGGGAGGGCAGTGAGTGGAGAGGGAACTAGGAGAAAGAGAAAGGGAGGAGAGGAAAGCACATTGAGTCAGGGGAGGGATAGAAGACAGAGAGAGAGAGAGAGAGAGAGAGAGAGAGAGAGAGAGAGAGAGAACATAAAGGAGGGAGCCATTATAGGACTGAAGAGAAAACTGAACCTAAAGAAATGTCCAGAGACCAACAAGACTGACTCCAACTAATAATTTGAGCAACAGTGGAAAGGCTACCATAAATGCCCTTCCCTGATAATGAGATGAACAATTAACTTATCCACCATCATGGAGCCCTCATCTAGTACCTGTTGGAAACAGAAAGCAAACACCCACAATTAAACACTGAGCCAAACTAGAATCCAGATGCAGAGGGAGAGGGCAAGACCAGGCTGCAGAAACACATAGAGACAGCTTACCTGAACAAGGAGGAGCTAACGGGCCCCCAGACTGATAGCTGGGAATCCAGCATGGGACTGACTCAGGCACCCCTGAATATGGGTCTCAGCCAGAAGGACTGAGCAGTCTAAGAGAGCTCAGACAGTGGAACCAGGATGTATTCCTAGTGTACAAAAGGACCTTGTGGACACATCCCCCATGGAGGGATAACTGCCTTAACCTAGAGACAGGAGAGAAGTCCTAGTCCCTACTTCAAATGACTTGACAGATGTAGATGACCCCTCCTGGATGGCATCACCCTACATGTGGAGTCGAGGAGATGGGAGGGGATGGGAGGATGGTGGGGGTGCATGTGAGGTGGGGAGAGAGGGAGAAAGGGAGGAAGGGAGGGAGAGAGGGAGGGAGGAAGAGAGGAAGGGAGAAAGGGAGGAAGGGAGAGGAACTGGGATCTATATGTTAAAAAAAAATCACCGGGGCCAGTCCCCAAGTGCTCAGAGTCTGATTGTAGAAGGGTGAGTGTTTATGCTTTTGAGGGAGGGGATTTTTTTTTTGTCTCTACATTTTTATTTTAAAAAAATTTTAATGGTGTGTGTGTTTGTGTGCACATATGCATACCCCCATGACTGAAATAGTCAGAAAAAGACATCAGATAGGGTTGTAGAACAATAAGGCAAAAAGGGCTCAAGTGGTGTTTTAGAGAAAGGAGTGGTAAGAATTTAAAGGACAAACTAAGGCATCACTTAACTGGCTGAGAGCTTATCGTGGTAAAGGCAGGTGCCAATATTGATAGAGATTATCACAGGCTTCTATATTTCAAAGCTAGCCTGATCTTTGCCCCCGACTTGGTGAGGTGGATAAAGTGCTCTCAATCTTATTTGTGGCTGGAAAGGATAGCCTGCATTTATCTATCTCACTCTGTTTCAGTCTCTCCTTACTCCTTCAGTTGTAAGAGGAAGACAGATGTTTCACTGAGTAAACTTAGAAACCACGCCTAAGGAACTATGATATCTCCCTTTCCTGAATTCATTTGTGTTATGATGCATGTCATAAAAACCTTTCCCTTAGAATACCACCTCTATGCCATACTCAGGCCTGCCAATTATACACAGAGGAACTAATGTTTACCGAGTACCTGTGTACCAGGGGCCAGGCTAACTATTGCATGTGTGTAGTTTACTTAATAAGTATATGCATTAAGCCCTATTATTATGGATATCTTACAACTGAGAAGATGGAATCTTACAGAGCTAAACTAACTGGCCAAATAATAGTCAAGATAGAATTTCATCCCTACCTGTATTCTATTACAATAATGGGAAAAATAACTCATACAGTCTATACTTCGGTAGTACTCAAGGCTAGTAAAAAGAGACCCCCCCTCCCCTTATAATTTGTAAGAATAAAGGGCCATCTCACTCTCAAAGTGCAGTGCAGTTGGCAGCCCCAGCTTGTCCAGGGTGAATGTACACATGTTGTGAGGACTTATCCTTTCTTCTCCTTTCTCACTCCTTTTCCCCATCCAAGCATTGCTGTTGTTCTCCAGAGCAGGTGAGAGCAGACCTACTTGTTGATGGTGCTTTTGCCTCTAATTTCTGGCTTCTAGCAATACTTCCCCATCCAAAAGGGCTTTATCCTCTCCTTACCCATATGACCAATTCACAAGTGTGACACTGTAACATTTTAACTTCAAGGTTGGTTTAACTTTACCAGCTGGAGAGGTTTAACTCAAATGAAACCAAATTTAACCTCCATGCACCAGAAGAGTCTCTGTTCTCTTGTATTTTTTGGTTGTAAACCCAGCCTTTTAATGGATGAGCCATTATCCCTCCAGCCTGAGAGTCTATTCTCAAGTGACACGTTAGCTTACAAGCACATTTCCATGGAGCCAGTGCAGTGTGGCCAGGTATTGTCTTTGACACAAGAATTCTGTTGCTCCCTCAAGTGGTGCATTCTGGGTAAAAACTCCACCTCTGGCAGAGCCCACATGATGGGTCTTAAGCCCATTATTCCCTCTGATGTAGTTCTGGGATGTATGCTGAAGAAGTGGTACAAATTTGAATCACAGATTATCAAAAGAAAAATACCTTTTCTAGTTTTACTTTGCAATAAAATTTGGTCATTAATATTCACTCTCAGATCAAGAATATTAATCACCTCATGGCACACTGGACTATAAAACTGGGTAGTAAACTTACATTTCTTTTGTCATAACTTAGGTCAGAACATAGATCTCTTATATGTAAGCCTTTGTGACCTCATCACAGTGCCTCAAGCTGCAAGAGAGATGTTGTATGTGTCTTACTAGATTATCTCATACTAGTCCATCTCCTTTAAAGTCAACTGTTCACCTCTGTAGAGGTGGTGGGATCTGGGGGTGTGGAGCCTAAAAATGAGACAGATTAAAGTCTCAAGCAATAGCCAAATTTATTTAGAGCATCAGATGACTTATACTCTGAGGGGTAAGAAGAGCCGCTTGAGTGAAGCATATGTGGCAAAGCCAAATGTGGCAAAAGCATGTTTTTCCATAGAGGCAAATAAACAAATGACAACAGCCAGTTGTGACAAATAATGTGAAGTAAACTCAGTTCTATTCATTATATTTTGGAGGAGCACAAAAACACATTCCAAGAACAATTCCATACTTTGAAGAAATTGGGGTCACAAGATATTTGTTTTCTTGAAGTTTTCTCACAAGCACTGAGAATTCTCCTCACATGACTCCATTCTTGGACCACAGACATCTTTGATCACCCTTCCTTTGTTGTACTCAAGCCCCTGCTCACCAGCCACCCTCTCTAGCAACTCTGCTCCCTCCCCCTTTTAAATTTTAATCCCCTCTCTCCTTCCTCTCTACATGTGGAGTTCTCTGGAAGCAACACCTTTCCTTACTGTGGTCTTCTCTCTCCCTCACACAGCCTTAAGAACTTCATATAGGGAATTCAGGGAAGAATGAAATCTGTCCTCCATTCTTCGCCTTCACAAAGTGGCTAATGGGGACCTTTGCAGCATTTGGATACATATGTGCACAGATCCTCCCTAGATATTAAACAAAACCTTCAAAAACTAGACCAGGGATCCAGAAACTTTTCTTAACTTTATGAGACACAGTTCTCCTTAATAACCAGGAGGATCTATATATCATTTATATATTTATATTATCTATCTATCTATCTATCTATCTATCTATCTATCGATTAAAGCCAGCTTCTGAGGGTGATTCTCCCTGAAGGGCACATGGGGCTGAATATCCCAGTTATTCTTGTGGGTCAGCCTACCAGCAGAATTCCTTTTCTTTCTAGTCCTTGTTTACTTAGCCTTCTGGAATAATTGATATCCTTTAGATTAGAAGCCTTGAAACTCCACAAGGCATTGTCTCAGGAGTATCAACCATTACCATCAATATTGGCACCTGCCTTTACCACGATAAGCTCTCAGCCAGTAAGTGATGCCTTAGTTTGTTCCATACAGAACTGGGAAAATTCTCTTTAAGCTAAACTGGGCTTTCCGTGAGATCTGAATGACAGATGTCCTATCACACATGTAGTCCTTGGGATGGAAAGACTATCTGAGGGTCTAAGCTTTGTAAGGCAGGGACCATTTGACCTCTGGGTTTTATTTCTTTTTCACGAAAGATAAAATAAGACTGAACAGTCTCTAAAAACCGTCCCTTTACAGACCATTGTTTTATGTTTATTTGTGGCAGATGATGTCTCAGAGAAAACCAAATATCATAAAATCTCAAGAAATGATCATCCCACAGAGTCCAGAATCTATGATGAAATCCCTGAGTCCAAGGTGAGCTGATGCTACTCATGAATACACCCTACCACTACCACCAGAAGAATAGGAGTCTTGGGCAGTAATTGCCCTCTGTTTGCCATTGTGTAGAAAGAAGCTACAGCCAAGAATCTGGAGGAACCCACCAAGAAACACTATGCTTAAGAAATGATGCCATGAATCTCCCCATGAAAGCAAACATAGTCCATTGTCTCCTCATGGCAGCCTCCATAGTATAAGTCCCTGAGCTTCACATGAAAGTTTAGCCATGGGTTAGATGTGATTTGTGTTTAATAAGTTCTCCCCAGAGGGATCAAACAATTAAAGAGTCCTTATTGTGAAATGAGGGATGTCGTGGGGTTTCAACAGGGCAAAGTCATTGCTAAGGTTATTCCAAGGACACATAACTAAAGATAGACACCCTTGAACTACACTAGCTGGTCTATCAGAAGCTTGTTATCTCAGACTCTTAATTCACTCTGACCCACACTTTTTGCCTTTTGTCTGCCTGCCTGGGCCTCACCTCCACTAAAGATCATTTTCTGTGCCTACACAAGCCTGTTTCTCTGCAGTCTGCAAGGACTGAAGGGAGACACTCAGGTTTCTCTGCTTAGTCTGACCCTGTACTTAAACTGTCGGGATGCTATTAAGGATTCACATAACTTGCAGAAAACTACAACTTCCAACTGAGCAAGACTCAGTCCAAACTACACAGAACCTTCCTCTTGGCCTTTGGAGGTGTTCTTGCTACAAGGCTGTGCCCAGCTGCCACCCATTCATCTTTATCTCTACCTTAACCCGATTCAAAAGTTGGAGGGAACAAGAGCTGATGCTGGAAAAGGAGGCTGCACAGTAAAGTGGGATCAGATGAGGGTGATGGAGAGAGTGGAATTAGGGCGGGAGACTCTTGAGGTTCGTCCCCTGCACTCTCGCTGAGGGCAAAGGATCTCTTTTCCAGGTGCTATCCCAAAAAGAAGAGTCAGTGAACACCATTTACTCCTCGGTGAAGTTTTATGAGAAGGTAAATCCTGAATAGCTTTTCACCTCTCTTCCTCCATTTGTTCTCCCCACCCTAGTGTATCCCATCCATCCAAATTGTATTGCAAGCTCAAGTCTCCTCAAGCCAACAGAGAAGTTGTTCACGGCATCCTAAGTTCTAGATTACATGAGACATTAGTAGTGATGAGATGCCACTTGTCTCTGTGTAGGGATGAAAATGGAATTGTTGGAGAATAAAAACAACTAAGGCTGAACTAGGAACAAATAATGCAACATGGATGTTGCTTGAAGCCCAACAATCAAAACCAATTCCCAATACCCCTATTCCCCTCTATTTATATCTCTTCTGGGCTAAGAAGAGATGCCTCCCTGAGGCAAAGGCAAAGGGCTCACCAAAGAAAATAGCATTGTCATCCCAGATGTTCCCAAGCACAGGAGAAATCTAAGACATCACCCTGTGCCATTTCCTTAACTCTCCTGGAACCTCATGGGACCTTTCAGCTAACATGCTTTTGTATTTCCCTCTTTTACACAGATTCAGAAAAACAACACAAAGGATGGCAAACCTCCCAAGACTTTGGGTAATGAGATTGTCGTCTAGGTGAGCAGGCAGCCTTCTTCCACTGTAACGGAAGTTATAACCAGTGATAGAGTGGATATTCTGGAGACCTAGACCTTTTCTGGCTATCCCTTACAGATAACCACATCCAAACATACAAGCAGAGTAATCTTCTGTTGTTGGGCATTATTTGTACCCAGATGGACTTATAGACACCCTTACTTATCCCTGATATGGTGCCTCCCAAACTTCCTCATATCATAGAACATGTAAAAATAATTTTTATGACACACTGGATAAAATCATCAAGGTTGCTCATGTTTAAAGAAGTCTGAAGATAGATGGAAGATGCTCGCATCTAGATGTAGCATCACTGTCCAACAGCTGTGGGAAGATATCAAACAATATTTTTGACACCTGGAACACACCATAGCACACCAGCTAGATGTTCTGTGCAGACTCAGCATGTGTACAGAACCCTGATGCAAGGCCTCCACCAGTTGGTAGAGTACCTTAAGCAACTTAGGAAAGGCATCCTTGGAGCATGAGTAACTCCTTATTTGAATGCATGGCATGGCAAACCAAGTATAGGCTACATAGCAGCCCCTATTCATCCCTCACCTCAGGAACCACCCTGCAGGGACCACAACTGCCACTATTAGCCCAAATATAGATGACCATGCTACCTGGAAAACTTTGAGTTGTGGCCCTAAGCCAGGCAGATACATTGTCTAAGTATAACATTATAGTATGTTCTTTCTGTAGAAACTAGATCATTGGAGTTCTCCAGAAACCTCATAAGATTTTCTTTCTGGCCAGGCTTGCCTTCCCTGTATATTACTTCAGACAGCTGAAGTAGTGAGCTAGGCATGAAGGGGCAGTGCCCTGGAGAAGTACACATAGAAATGAAAAAAGAGACTTGGCCATAAAGGATGCAGACAAGTCAAAGTTACACTTGGCTCCCCAGAGTCACTCCTCATCCTGTAGTTGAGTTGAGGAATCTTGGACCTCATTCTCCAACTTGTCTCTTCCTATTCCTGTGAGTTCACTCAAATTCCCCACATCTTAAAGCTCTGGTATACAGTGCCAAACAGAAAGGACCAAAGGCGAGAGTCCTCTAGGCCTTCAACCCGACCAATTTTGTTTGAAGCATAGGGATTCTTGAGGAGGCCTTTGGGCTCAGGACCAACTTGTATTTGTTTCTTTGGGGGGGGAGGGGAATCTTGTGATTTACGAAGATATAAGCTATTCACTCCTTTCTTTGGACTCAGTCCTCAGAGTCTTCTGAAAAATTATATTATTTTCCCATTTAAGTCTTTGTAAATGAACTAGATTGTTGTGGCCAATAGGCTCATAAATATCAAAGTATACTTTCAATAGGACAGGATCTCTTACTGGCCTCAAAGTGCCCCCCCACCCCCAACACACACAAAATTGAGATGTCAACACAGTGCCCTCTAGTGAAAAGTGATGGTGACCCAGGATGACCCCTCTTCACAAATACAAGGTTTCATGGAGGATTCACCTAAGTAAATGAGAAGTTGCAACTCGTGCTCCCCAAGGAATGGGGAAAATGGAGCTATTTAAAATCTTTTTAATCTAAAAAACATCCACGAACTAGACAGCACACAGAGAAGAGCTTGGCTAGGCCTCCTTGGGAAACGCCTACAGGCATGAAGAAGCCCTTATGGTCTGTGTTAGGTCAACAGAGACCAGTCGTAGCTAAAACCTGGTGAGAAGAAATTACCGAGCCAGAGTTTCTTCCAGATTTATACCTATTTTTCAGTTTGACTTTTTCCTGAATTTCCCTTGATTTGTATGATTTTCTAAAAAGCATAGTCTCTACTGTGTATAAATGAAGCTTGAAAACCAAAGTCAAACAGAAAAAAACCTGAGTGATCAGAAATGTGGGCTCTGACACTGGATACCTAAATCTAAAACCTTTGTTTCCTAGTGATCTTGGAGCAAATCACTTGAACCTCCTGTCCTCTTGTTGCCCATCTGTAAAATGGACATAGTTAATGGTACCTACCTTAGCAGGGCTAGTTGTAAGCATTAAGTGAGGTGTTACTATAAGAATATGCCAGAACACAGAAAGGTCTTTTTAATTCATTCCTTGTGACTAAGGCTATTTTGTTGCAGGCCCATCTGTTCCTTCTGCATACACACACTTACCTACTACTTACCTACTACTATACCTGTCTCCTCAAAGAGACAGAAAGGACAATGGCTATATCTAAATAATAATGAAAATAAAATGGAGAGCTCTTAATGGGCAAAGAGTTTGTAACAATTCACCTGGGGCTTAATTTGCATGTCAACCATTACTACATTGTATATTGTTGTTGATACAACAGTCCTGTAAAGTAGAAATTAATTCTTCTAGGTTACATTAAGACTAACGGGATAAAAACATTGGCATAATCAGAAAGCTTGGAAGTCAGGAGTTGAATGTGAGATTTCATACATTTGCACCCTGACACACAGACTCCATTTCCCTGCTGTGGATCTTCAATGCTTGACATTTGGCCTCAGACATAGCACACATCTGGCATTTTTGCATAATAGATGGATCACCAAACATCTGTTGAATAAATACTTGCATAGACTATTCTTTTAAAGCTACTAAAAGTAGATCAATGCAAATATACTGTCATGTTAATTCCATTGTTATGTGGCCAGCCACACAACTTTTCTATTGGCAATGACCATCAAACTGAAGAAGCTTCTACAGAGCTCTTTGGCTGAATCTGGGCAAAGCTGCTTTCCTATCAAACAAGGGGTCATAGTCATGTATGTTTCTGATGAGTTTTTACAAAATGAGGTGAACAGTGTGCATGTCTACCATTAGCATGTCTACCATACGAATAACAGGAACAGAAAAAGTAAGAATTTAGAGGATTGCACTGAACTACTTAAAGCTTGCTAGTATGAGAAGCCTTTGAGATTTTTCAAAATATATTAAAGTATTAAGATATTTTGACAAATAATAGTTAGTAGAACTTTTGACCTCTAACCTGAGGAAGCAAAATACTGAGCAGAGCATTGTTATCTAGAGGCTTTCAGACCTTGAGAGATTTGCTTTAAGAAAGCATGAAGAAATTGCTGATGGTAGTGAACGTTTGCTGGCTGATTGAACAGTCTGTTCTCATCAGCCCTATACGAGTTTCTGGGTCCACTCTCTGATCTAAACATGGCAGTGTCTTTGAAAACAAGAAGTAGAGGCATGTCTTTTGTCTTATGAGTTGTCTGTCATTTCTTAAACAAGTTCCAGTCCCAACCCTTTCACTTTTGCTTATTCCCAGCCCTGATCTTCTTGTAATGTCAAGAGTCACCTCTAACTTAATGTGCCCCAAATTGAACCAAATCTTCCCTGACCTCCACAGCCTTGCTCTCCTGATTTCCCTGTGCAAGGTAATCATCCACTGTAAGCATAAAGACTACCATTTATTCGGTGCACAGATTGTGCCACTCTCTGTGCTCTTTTGGACATAACTCACTTGAAGCTCTTGAGAAACAGTAAAAAATCATCTGCTTTCTGAAGTAGATACATTATGCTGGTCATGGATTAAGAGGCTGAGAGTCACAGAAAGGCTAAGTCACCCATTTAACTGAATAGGAAAAATCTTGACCCTTCCTTCTTTCTGCATCACAGTCCCCCTTTGTATCTAATCAGTTACTGGATTCTGTCAATTCCAACTCCTCCAAGTGGCTCATCTCAAGCTCATTCCCTCCATCTACCTAATTCTCACACATGCCTGCAGACCTTGTTGTGTGCTACCCAGAAACTGTCACACATAAAAAGCAATAACTCAATTTCCTCTTTCCTTACTGGAATTCATTCCCCCAAAAGATTAGCATTCTGTGGCTGTCTGGTTCCAATGACACAGAATTATTATGATCCACAAACTGCTAAATCATTTCCACGTCCCACACACACACTTGCTCATGCCATATCTGTCTTTGGAGTCAGACTCAGTATCTTCTCTTTGTTATCCCTCTCAAATTCTCCAACCAAAGCTAATTATATGTCATTCTATTTTTACTTCTATAGTATGTCATACCTAAATGCTTAGTAGTAGCACTCACAACCTCCTGTGGTGGCCATAAAGCTGTTGTATTTTTTTAACAGTCTCTCTGACTAGTCAGTGAGTTCATTTTGGTCAGGAACCTATTTTACCATATTTTTTTGAGTACTCCAAGCTTAATGAATATTAAATTCTCAAAATGACTTTTTGCTATATTGGTTTATTTTTAAGAAGATCATGCTTTAATGATAATAAACATGCTACTAAACCTGTCTCAGAATTTAGGAACACAATGTCTTGTCTTTTCTTCTTGTCACTTTTTATTTCACTCATTTGTAAATTTCTTTATCTTTAAGATTTACTTTGTTGTTAAAGCAATGGACTACACGCTCCACTTCATCAGATAAAGAAACACAATAAGCACTGTTTTATAATGAATCTTTTTATTTGCCTGAGTTTTTTTTTTTTCAAAGAAAGAAGAAAGAAACTAGCTGAAACAGCAAAAGACAGTCAACATAGCACAAGCCCTGTGCATTCTGAAATCCCAAAATACTTTAGAATCTGAGACTAGGGAGCTCTCGAGTTGTCATCCACAGTACCACTTGGAAAAAAGAAACTAAAGCAATGAGGCTGTGGTTTCCACAGGACCTGAGAATATGTTGTGAAGCTCTTAACAGGAAACGGCTTTATGCCTTGCCTCTCCCTCTTATTTTTTAATTATTCTATTTTATCTACTGTATAAGGGGAGGCACACACATGCCACTTTGCATGTAGAAGTCAGAAGACAGCTCGTAGGAGTCAGTTCTGTTTCTTCCACCACACAGGTCCCCGGGGATCAAACTCGAGTCATCAGGCTTGATACCAAATGCCTTTTCCCACTCAGCCACTTCTGTCAGCACCCGCCTTGTGTATTCATTCCCCTTGGCTGGTTTTGCTTTACATGCATTCACTGAAATAGATCAAATCTGTGAGTATAAGTATAAACAATCCTAGGGTTGTGTGACTGTTCCTGGGGAGATATGAAGAAAAAAAAAAGTCCCTTCCTACCAGATAAAGCACTGATAATAAACCAAACAAACCACTTAATCCAAGTTCAGCTTGGTGAGGCCATAACTTTACTGGTATTGCTTTCAGATGCTCAGGTGATGGATGTCTTACAATAGCACAGGTGACTCGAGGGCAGATGGCTGCATCACCGAAAAACCCACCCAGGCATGGCTGAACATGCATCCCTGAAGTCCCCTGAACAACCTACAGGAGGCTCGGCTGAAGAGTCTCCTTTCCTACCACCGTGTTTTGCTGCTTCAATAAACTTGGTGATGGGTTTCCTGGGTCTTAAAAGTTTTCATGAACTTCCTAAGCCTTGTGAATTATGTGATCTTCTTGATGAGTTTCCTGAGTCTTGTGAACCTTCCACCTCCCTCCTGGAAGAAAAGTTTCAATTCAGAGAAAATAGCTATACAACACCTCCATCCCTCCTTCTGGCTGTTGCTTCTTTTCTACCCTCTCTGCTACAATGTTTCTTAAGGGAGTAATAATAATGTCCTAATATCCTCTTCTATTTATGGCTGTGGCACTGTTCCACAGCAAAAGTCACTTACTCTCAGTATTTCAACTGGTTTTCAATCTGGTAATCACTATCTATGGGAAAAAAGAAATTCTGCAGTAATGTGTGGATACAGGCATAAATATTTAGAAGGTAAGTTAAGAGATACATAATACCTATTTAACAAAACAATAGCAGTAGCCTCCTCAATCCTATAATTCCCCAGTCATAGATTTTACCCTGGCTTATAGTACCAAATATTTGTTCTATCCTGTGAGGTGAACCTAAAAAAGCAGCAGAAAGCAGTTGGTTGTGTTTACATCAGCTGTGCCACTTTTGAACCAATGGCATATTCTGACTAGAGTGTCAAAAGTATAGCATACAAGTTCCATAGCCAAACAAGACTGTTGGTCACAATTCTTCTCCACAATTCTGTTATAGTTCCTTCGAGTACTACAAAAGCTAACCAACAAGAAATGAGCTTTTGATTTAGTCCAAATTTTATTTTTTTTAACATCCTGCAACAAAACAGTGTCTTCAGTTGTGGAAAACTCAGCATCTAGTTCTGACATGTAGCTAATAGCAGTGGCAATACCTTATATTTTATGGGGATCCTCATGGACCTCCCCGATTAATAATTGCTTAAGAGGTAATATACTCCTGCTACACATATCTTTTTTTATCTCAACAACTTTGTGTTCCTAGAAGTGCCTTTTCCCCACCCACACAGGATGAATTCTTCAAACTTTTTACCTATCATTTTTACTGGCCTTCCAGATGATTCTCCAAATCTGTAAGACATGCTGTTTAGCATTACATAATGAATCCTTTTAAAGAGGGTGGGCAGGTGTGCTGGAGAGATGGCTCAGGGGTTAAGAGTACTGGCTGCTCTTCCAGAGGTCTTGAGTACAATTCCCAGCACCACATGAGGGCTCACAACCATCTGAAATAAGATTTGATGCCCTCTTCTGGTGTACAGGCATACATGCAGATAGAGCGCTTGTATGCACACAGAGGGTGGGCAGGGCCTCTGAAGGTCCATTGCTGTCTCTTCTAAGCAAATGCTAATTGGTCTTGGAATTCAATCTAGAAGTATAATTTTTAACATTGGAGATATAGCGTTAAAAATACCCCATCACTTGTGTCAACTGTTTCTTCAAAACACAGTTTATGGGTGGAGATACCGCATTATTTAGATCTTAATCATCCATAACCACTATAATCTATATGCCATGCAGTGTCTCATCCTGGAGAACTACACACCTCCCCAACCATGATAGGCTCCAGGCAGTGATAGTCAAGCTTCCCTAACTGTTCATATAAGCCATCTCATTGGGAATGGTTTCCCTTACACTGCCTCAAACTATGTAGCGTATGTCTGAAAGAGAAAAATCCATAATATATCTCAATTTCTCACTTCCACAATATCAGGCTGATCCCATGCCTTCCTCTCCCATGTCCCATGACCTCCCAAGCCAGGCTGTGGAAAGTTCTTCTATTGCTTATTTACAAATCTCTCCCAGCTGAAGCATTTGAGGGACCAAATATTCCCCCGACTGACATCATCTCCTGGGCTAAGAAATGATGAAGGCTTCTCTATGCATACTGAATCACAGATGTTTCCTTCTTATGTATTAAAAGTCAGGCCTGAAGGATATCTTCTGTCACTTCTGCTTCCTTCCTTCATTCCTCACTATCTGATTCTTCCCACGGATCAAGACTTTTGGGTTCCAGGAAGGGTTCTCTAGCCCAGGTCTAACGAATTCTCTTAACTGCCTGGAAAAAAAAAAAAAAAATGCAAACCCATCCTTCTTATCCCTCCTTTCCTGCCAAATCAGAAGGCAATGTAGAAAATAGCATCCGTGTGTCTCTTTATTTTGTTTTATTATTTTACATATAGATCCCAGTTCCCTCTCCCTCCCACCCTACCATGTCCCCAAACCTCCCCCATCTCATTCCGAACCCACTCCTCAGGGAGGGTGAGGCCTTCCAGGAGGGATCATCAAAATCTGTCAAGTTAATTGGGGTAGGGCCTAGCCCCTCCCTCATGTTTCTAGGTTAAGGGGGTATCCCTCCACGGGGAATGTGCTCCCAAAGTCCTTTCGCGCATCCTGGTTCCACTGTCAGGGGCCCCATAGACTTCCCAGGCCTTCTAACTGAGACCCATGTTCAAGGGGTCTGGGTTGGTCCAATGCTGGTTTCCCAGCTATCAGACTGGAGTCCATGAGCTCCTTCTTATACAGGTCAGCTGTCTCTGTGGGTTTCTATAGCCTGGTCTTGACCCCTTTGTTTATCACTTCTCCCTCTCTGCAACTGGATTCCAGGAGTTTGGCTAGTGTTTTGCTCTGGGTATCTGCTGTTTCCATCAGCTACTGGATGAAGGCTCTAGGATAGCATATAAGGTAGTCATCAATCTCATTATCAGGGAAGGGCATTTAAAATAGCCTCTCCATTATTGCTTATATTGTTAGTTGGGGTCGTCCTTGTAGTTCTCTGGACATTTCCCTAGTGCCAGATTTCTCTTCAAACCTATAATGGATCCCTCTATTATGGTATCTCTTTCCTTGCTCTCCTCTATTCCTTCCCCAACTCAATCTTCCTGCTCCCTCATGTCTTCCTCTCCCCTCCTCTTCTCCCCTTCTCTTTCTCCTAACTCCCTCTCCACTCACTGCCTCCCCACTCCAATATACTCAGGAGATCGTGTCCCTTTCCCCTTCTGTGGGTGACCATGTACGTCTCTTTCAGGGTCCTCCTTGTTTCTGAGCCTCCATGTGTCTCTTCTATTGCAATCCCCTCCTCCTGCCAGCAGTTCCTTCTGAGCAGAAATGTTATCCTCAATTACATCTCTTATGGCATCCAGCAGAGACCAAGTGTCTATTTCTATGACTTGCTTATAATCACATGCCATATGTGGGATTCTGGGATTACAAAGATTCTCTAGTCCATCAGCCACCTTGGGGGCATTCCTATGTTTGATTGACAGACTGCATTCATAAAAGGGGCATGCCAACCATACCGCATAGAGGAAGATAGGGTTTCCCCTCAAAGATGTTCCCCTTCAGTTGCATGTTTTATTCATATCAGAGGACATCACACAAGCCACCACAGGAAGGGGGCACACTGTCCCATACCACAGGGAAAGAGTAATCATATCAGGATTGCCCAATGGATGCTCCACCCACAGTAGGGTCAGTCACTATTGCATGTACCTCACCTGTAGCAGGGAGTCATGCAACCCTCCCTCTCAGATTTGAACAAGTATTTCTATTCACTCCAGATCTCCAGATGGGACATTGACAGCAAGACAAAGAAACAGCCCCCACTAGGTCTAGGTTAGTTCATTGGGGTTACTGGTGAATGGGTGAGGGGTTAGCTGTCATAGGGGTGGTCCAAGGCATTTGCATACCTGATAAGCCCACTGTCAAAGCACCATCAATGACATAATAGTCTCCTACATTTCAAAGGTCCCACCACCCCCTCTGAGTCACCACACTGGAGACCAAACCTCCAACATATGAATCTTCTGGGGTCAGAACTACAGGAAGTCTTTAAATAAAGGACCTGAGCAATACGACAAGCCAGTAGGATCTGATAGACATCACAGAAGATGCCACAGACAAGGTGAACATTTTCTCAAATGCATAGACAGCTCAAAATACAAATTTACCTACACTTTTTTAAAATTAAAATTATACAAACTCTTTTTTAAAATGTATTCTTCTCTTATGTATTATATCCCCACCACAGTCTCCCTCCCTCCTCCCCCCGCCCAGCCTCTCTCCCCACTACTCCTCCATTTTCCTTCAGAAAAGGGCAGGCCTCCCAGGGATATCAACCAAATATGCTGTATCAAATTCAAATAAGACTAGGCACCTCCCCTCATATTAAGACTTGGCTAAGCAAAACAGGCATAGGACTGAACCAGGATCCCCGAATACAGGGGACAGTGGTATGGCTTGGGGTATACATGAAGTCACTGGCAGTGGGACCAAGATCTAACTATAATGTGTAAACAGACTTTGTGGAGCCCATTCTCTATGGAGAGAAACCTTGCTCAGTCTAGATATGGGAGGGTACCTTGGTTCTTCCTCAACAAGGTTATGGGACAGACTTAGGGGAGGCTTAACCCTCTCTGAGAAGCAGATGGGAGGTGGGATGTTGGAAGGAGGGGAGAGTGGGAGGAGAGGGAGGAGGGGAACCTGGGATTGGAATATAAAAAATTAATTAATTAAAAAAAAAAGAAAGACTGAACTAGGCAACCCAGTAGGAGAAAAGGCATCCTAAAATCAGGCAAAAGATTCAGAGACAGCAGCCCCCTCTCTTTCCACTCCCATTGTTAGGAATCCCACAAAAATGTAAAGCTCAGCATAAATGTATGCAGAGGGTCTGGCTCAGTCTCATGCAGGCTCTCCAATTGTCACTTCAGTCTCTGTGAGTCCCTGTGAGCCCTGAATTTTCTTGAGGTGTTCCTGACCCATCTGGCTCCTACAATACTTCCCATCTTCTGCAGGATGCAGAGTTCAGCCTAATGTTTGGCTGGTGGTGGGTCTTTGCATCTGTTTCCATCAGTTGCTGGATGAAGCCTCTCTAATGACGATTATGCTGGGTACCTGTCTATGAGTATAGCAGAGTATCATTAGGAATTGTTTCATTGACTCCCCACCCCCCACCCCCAGACCCCCAACTCCATAACCCCCCACCCCCTCATCCCCCCACCCCATTGTATTTGGTTCTATCCTAGGTCTCTGAGCTATCCAGCCTCTGGTTCCTGGACCTCCAGGCAGTGTCAGACGTGGGCTTCTTCTTGTGGCATGGGTTTCAAGCTGGCTCAGCTATTGGTTGGCCACTCCCAGTTTATGTAACATCTTTACTTCAGTACAGCTTGCAGGCAGGACAAATTGTAGATCGAAGGTTTTGTGGCTGGGTTGGTGTCCCAGTCCCTCCTCTGGAAGTCCTGGTTGCAGGAAGTGGCCAATCCAGGCTCTATATACCCCATTACTAGGAGTCTTAACTTATACAAGGCATTTCTATAAGCTATGTGTGAAAGTGAAGATCGATAACCAAAGGCTGACTAACACAGGAAGAGTTCTCATCACCAGAGGAAAGGGAAGTCTCAGTGACAAGCTGGTCAAAGGATGGTTGTCTCAAGGGCTCCAGCGCCTGACTCCGCTGGTCAGATGATGGTCTGGCTGTTTCCACTTGTCTTCTGCCTTGGCTCAGGTAAATGTCTGTGGACACTGATATTGTTGCTGAGTGGTTCCCTTCTTTGGGACAGCTTGCTAGTCTAAGTCATCTAGATCGTGCCAACTTTCTCTGTCAGCGACTGAGGAAGTTCAAGGTGGTTCATAGCAAACTGCTTCCCTCAGACTGCAGGGAGACTGATTTGGGGCAAAATTTCAGCTGGGCATGACTGAAAGGGAGTGTTTTCTGGGCATGGGAAACGAGTCTTTGAAAGTCAGGACTGTTTGTGACCAACATGTTGTGGTACAAAAATAAGTTTAAGGAGGAAAAAAATTTTCAGCGTTTTAACTGCTGTTATATTGTGTAACTTCAGGGGGATTCATTATCTTTCCTGAACTTTGCTCTTCAACCAAATACTGAAAACCCAGAACTGCAGTTAGGAAAGGTTTGGCTGAGTCTTTGTTTCTTTTCGCTGCTGTTACAATGGAGAGTTTGAGAAACCACAGTAGCATCTGGGCTGAAGTGTACTGTTCTAGGAAAGGATATCAACCGCTACTAACTCAGACCTAACCCTGGGGGAGTTCACTGGGGGAAAAAAATTGGCTAGATATTAAACATGCATTATGTTTAGAAGTCATATGGCATGTGTATGAATTTATTCTATTTATAGCTTCATGTTAACACAGGGAACTGAGTCTATGATAATTTAAATAACTTGTCAAAATCTCATTAGCCAGCAAGAGTCTGAAGAACAAAACAAAACAAAAACAAACAACAAACAAAAAACAGTTGACTTGACTAAATCTATCAGTAACACAAGAAAGATCAAGACATACTGCAGACATAGAACTAACTAGATTAATTAACAACAGCACTAAGAGGAAAGGAAAATTCATTAGGTCATTTAACAATGACTCAGCACTGTAGTAGTTTCAGGAACTACATCAGGACCTAAGTCAGCAAAAGTTCTGTTCTTATGGAATTAACATCTTGGCAGGGAAGATAAGCTCAAAACAAGTAAAATGTGCACTGACTAGCAACAAATAATTTGAAGAAATGAGTGAGAAAGAGAAAGAGATAGAGGGGGGGAAGTACCATTGCAAACAGGACAGTCAAATGGAGGAAGAGGTAGGATGGAGGACTAGCCACAAGGAGGAGGGTCAGCTCCTCTTTGGATCTGCTTTATGGTATCAGTGAGAGGAGAGTCCTGAAAGCAGCTAGATACTGAGGCACAAGGCTAAGAATAGAGACTTAGTCAAACTAGGGAGAACAGAAAAACAAGGACAGAACCCTGGGAAACACATACAAGATGCAGAAAAAGATGAGAATTAGTGTACTCGCATCCGTGTTGCTGCTTCCTGACCTGGGACCAAGCAGCAACTTGAGTTTTTAACCTCACGTTTAAATTTTCAGGGAAAATGAAAATTTCTGAGAGTTCACTTCTTAATATCCCTCTTCCATATCTCTGTGGATTCTTCTTATAGCAAGCCTGTGAAATGTGAGGCTCAGTCCCCATGTTTGGATGAGCAAAGGTACAGCGCCTAAGTAACAGCTCACTGCCACACAGCTGTGGGAGAGGATGTAGAGTAAGAACACAGTTGACTGCATCTGCAAGACACAGATGCAGGTGGTCAGAAACCACTTGGTGGAGCGGAACTGTGGTTGCTGGGGTGGAAAGTGGAGCATCTGGTTCCAAAGTAAAACTAGGTAGGACCCCAAAAACAAGGGGACTGCTCTGGACTGGGAGGTGAGGAAGAACTTTCTGGAACAGGTGAAAATGATGTGCAGTTAAGTAGGGAAGGGGTCAAATACAGAAATATGGGAGGGTGAGGGGAAATGTATAGGGGAAGAGTTTGGAATGAGTGAGGAAAGACAAGACCACTGTAGCAAATGTGTAGGACAAGATGCTCTCGAGAAGATGGAGAGAATGACTCACTCACTACAAGCTTTCAGGTAGAGACACATCCTGATTCAATTAGGAAACTTAGCTCAAAGCTAAACCATGTTGGAAATCTAGTCTTATTTCCTTTTGTGTGCATAAATGAGTGTTTAGTTATTCTTGTGTGTTTACAAACAGGTGGGAGCAAGTGGGGGGCATCCAGTGAGTGGTTTAAATAACTGCTTCTCTCTCTTCCTTTATTTCTTGAAATAGGCCTCTCAATGAACCCAAAGCTGGCTCATTTGGCTAGGCTGACCGAACATTAAGCCCCAGGGCTCTTTCTGCCTCCCCAGGGCTCTCCTTGCCTCCCCAGAGCTGAGATTACAGCACTGGCTTTACGTTAAATTCACCTGGCTTTGTACTTGGAAATCTGAACTCAGATTGCATGGCAACAAGCACTTTGCCAGTTCTTGCATCACCTCAACCCCCTTCATTCTCTTTTAACTCATTTCCTTGGGGGCAAACCCAACTTACTATGTAACATGACAGTTGTACTCTTTGATGCGCAGCAGCTGTGATTACCAGCACAAGACAAGCACAAAATTAGGCCTAACAACATTCTGTCAAGGAGATGGAGGAGACCGATCAGGCCCATCCCCTCCCTCCGGGACCTTTAAGTGGTTAATGGTTTGTTGGGGAGGGAAAGACTTTTTCCTCAGTGGTGTGGCCACTTGTCAGATGTCCTGGCATCTGTACATAACTCCTGTAAGCAACCCTAAGAAACTCATTGGCTCATCAGAGAAAAAAAAGGAAAGAAAAATAGAAGGCGGGTTAGTTTAGAAGAAGGAGATTAACAGGAGTGAGAAGGGGCCAGAGAGGGTACTGTGGGTAAATATTATCAAAATATACATGTGTGAAAATACAATAAAACCTAGTACCACATATAATTAATAGATCTTAGCAAAAACTTTTTTTTAATAGTCCAACATCCAGGTGTGATGGTGCATGCTTTTAATCCCAGTTTAGGATACTGAGGCAACCTGGGCTACACAGCAAACCAAAATAGGAAAACCCTAAAAGCAAAATAATGGTAATGGTTGTAGATGAAATCAAGCTCCCTGGTGGACCTCAGCTACTTCTCTAATTATCCTTTCTACATAGGAATTCGTCAAACATAGATATATATATATATATATATATATATATATATATATATATATATATATATATCTTGAGAATTTTATTAGACTGGAGACTCTGAGAGGAAGCTGTAAAATCTGCATTTCTAACAAACTCCCAGGTGCTATCAATGTTGCCTGCCCATGGACCACACCTTGAGTAGCAAGTTTCTGAATTGTAGTCACACTGAAATTAGTGCCAGAGGAAACCAGGAATTAATTCTTTGGGTGGGTATGAAGGAAGCAGATGCAGGTACTCTGAGGCCCAGGGAAGAGCAGCAGGTGGATGTGTAGGTAGAGGAAAAACATGTGGGCCGGCTCCCAAATCTTCCCTTCTACCCTCTCCCCTTCCTTCTTCCATTTATTTTGCAGCTAAGGATCCGACCTACAGCCTCAAGCATGCTATCATTCTGCCACTGAACTACACTGGCCACCCTTGTTCTGAAATTTTTTGAGTCAAAAGTGTGTATGGTTCTACTGATAACAGATTGTTTTGTTGTCTAATGACTCCCCTCCCCCACCTCCCAATACTATTTTTTACAACAATCTGCATGTTCAAGTCGTTGTTTTACCTCATCAAAGACAGGCTGCTGTTTCACATCTTGTTGTTATGCTCAAAAACACATGACTTTCCATTGCTCAGACTCTGTGTTCTGTCCCCACTGTAATCTCTAGCTTTCTGCTCCTCACACCTCTCCGCTTTGGATCCCTCACTCCAGATCTCAGGTTGTTTCCGTTGCTCGCCATAAGGCCTTTCTTTTTTAATTTTCAAGATGAAATGTGCATGGCACACATCCTGTAATCATCAAATCTATTGTTTCAAAGTATCCATCACTCAAAAAGAAAATTCCAGGCTGGGCATGTAGCTCAGTGGTAGAGTTTGTGCTTCCTATCCTTTGGATCAAACCTGACAGAGAGAGAAGTCTGTTCTTCACCTCCCATTTCTTCCTGTCCCCATCTCCTAAGCCAACCCCAATATGCTTTCTGCATCTATTGAGCAACTAAATGAAAGCATACAATGGCTGACCTATTATGTCTCATCTAATAGAATGTTAAGGATCTGCTGCTAAGATATGTGTCCTAACACTGATACACATTTAAAAAAAAAAAAAAAATTTGACATAATATTTACCTTTTTTCTTTCATTACTTGTGTTTTGGTATCATATCTAAGAATCTATTGTCAAATTCAGGATCATTAATAATGACCCTTGTGGTTGTTTATAGTTCAAATCCAGAGTTTTATTGAATGCTAGGCAAGCATACTGCCACTAACTAGATCCCTAGCCCAGCCCTTAGGTTTTCTTCTATAAGTTTTATAGATTTAACTCTTAACTGGTACTTAAAATAGTTTGAGTTTTGTTGAGACAGGGATTCACTTGTAGTCTTGGCTGGCCTAGAACTTGCTATGTAGAACAGGCTGGACTAGAACTTACAGAGATCTTCCTCTCTGCATCCAAATGTTAAGACCAATGGCATGTGCTGCCACATCCAGGTGCAGTTTAAGTTGATGTGAGAAACAGGAACTTAGCTTCATTCTTTTGTATCTAGGTATCCATTTGTCCCAATGTCTTTTCTTTCTTCCTTCTTTCCTTTTTTCTTTCTTTCTTTCTGTTTTTTTTTTTCTGTCTTTTTTGCATAAGGATAGCAAACTAATTCTTTAATTTTTCACATTTGGAAATATTTAGCTTCCTGAAGGTGATTGTTTTATAACTAAAAATAATGGTATGGTAAAGACAACTAAGTAATTGAACAATTACTTAGTATCAACTTTTTTCATCTTAAAAACTAAAAGTAAAATAATGAAAAAAATGATGCTAGGATCTTGTATATATGACAGAACATGTGGCATTTGTCTTCCTCAGTCTTCATTATTTCATTCAAGAAAATTTTAGTTCTGCTCACTTTCCTGAAATTCTCATAATTTCCTTTTTCTTTATAACTAATCAATAAAAATTCTAACATATATATATATGTATATAT